AATGGATGAATTGGAAACTAAAGGGAATCATCATCATTGTCATTCGGTAGAAAAAAAATGTTTCTGGTTATCAAGAATCGTAATTGAACCAGAAAAATTATTATCATTATTCTTGACAACCTGTATGCATTATAGATGAAATGAAATCATTAAGAAAAACAACGAAAAAAATGAATGATGATGAATAAAATATTCTGTTGTTTTGTTTTCCGTACAAAAAAAAATCATCATTATCACACCATCATAACATGCATGTTTGATTATCATTTGGGTATGATGAAAATTAACATGATCAACAACAAAAAAAAAACTTTTTTTCCGGCAATTTTCTCAACAAAATTGATTTTTTTTCACTTATTCTTTGTCGCTGATGGTTTTGGAATAGCGAAAATATTCCGGAAAATTCCTCCGATTCTTTTCGTTGGATTTTTTTTTTCTTATTGAGAATTTTATAAAAGTTTAAAGTTCAAGAAATTAAAGATTACTTACCAAATGAAATATTTGAAGAATTCGATCATTATCATCATCTTCAAGATTTACAAATTTTTTCAACATTGTTAAAAATATTTCACAATGTTTATTTCGACTTTTTTTACGTTTACGTATCGATTGTTGTTGTTGTCCAATCATATTTGTTGTTGTTGTTGTTAACATACAAAACATGAATGTAAATCGATTTAATTTTCAAATCAATCGATTCGATTCAATCAATCGATCGATCGTGTTGGTTACATTTTTGTTTATCGATTTTAAATGGATAATTTTTTTTGTTTGTTCTTGTCTTTATCAAAGTTTATTCAAAAATCAGAATAACAGAATCAAAATCAAATTCATTTTGGAAACAAAAAAAAAACAAAACAAACAGAATCACGATTCCGATGATAATGATTGAAAATATTTTTGATCACAGAATTAACGAATTTGGAATGATTTTCATTTAGTTTTGAATGACCATAGATGAAACAAACAATCAAACGAATTGAACAAAACGAACCAACAACCTATCATCAACATGATCAACATTCAAACTAAAATGAAAAATACATCGAAGTTTACATTCGAAGAGCATATACTTGAAGAAAAATTTGTACATCTACATCATGGACACACACCACACACACACACACAAATGTTTGGCGTCGTCGCAAATGATTTTGATGGAAGAAAAGAAAAAAATATCATCGACCACGACCACGATGATCATCAATGGTAATATGTTGATGATAATGATGATGATGATGATAATGATGATTGTAGTTGGTAAAATACCAGAAAAAAAATACTTTACTATTTTGTTCACACCACATATGTGGTTATTTTTTTTTCTCTGTTATTCTTCATTACCCAACTTTTTTTTTCTTTTCTTTGCTGTTCATTTCTAACTTTCAATATAATATTCATTTTCATGTACCGTTTTCTTTTTTTTCTTTTTTTTTGTTGTTGTTTAATTTCTTGTGTAACACGAACATGAAAATGAAACAGTAAGTTTTTCTTTCTTTCTTTCTTTCTTTTTCTGTTTTGCTTGAATAGAATAACAATATATTTTCAAGGAAAACAAGAAATAAATGAATAAATTTAACGAACGAACGAACGAAGTATCTGTTCATTATAAATGAATTCAGTATTTCTTTCTTCATAATTTTCTTATCATCATCGTATATTCTGAATTTGAATTTCGTTTTTTTTTTAGTTTTTTTTTCTTATTAAGAGAATGTTATTAGTGAAATGATTGTCTTGAAAGAAAAGAAAGAAAAAGAAAAGAGAAAATGAAACATTATAATTGATACTTTAGCTTGTTTCAAATTGATAATTTTCTTATGCAAATTGATTGAATTTTTCTTTGTGGATAGATGGTAGCATCTGTCTTAACGAATTCCAATGATTAAAGATGCTGCCATCTATGATACGAATAAAAATCAAAATTGATTGAATTTTTTTTCGTTTGTAAATAAAATTATTTTTGTTTTGTTTTGTAATTTTAATTTATTAATATCATTTTATTTTATTCAAAAAAAAAATTTTTTTATAATAATAATATTTGTTACACAATTGTCACATGACATTTGTTTTTTTTTCGTTTTCGTTTGGTTTGAAAGATTTTATTTTTTCCTCATTCAAATTCATATCTTCGACACAAATCAAAAGAGGAAATTTTTTTTTTCGTTTGTTGTGGTGATAATTAAATCAATCAATCAATCAATCAATCAATCAATGTTGATTTTGTTTAGTTTTTTGTTGACCAAAAAAAGAAAGAAAGAAAGTTATTTGCGTGGTGTGTGAGAAAAAGAGCAAAAAAAAAGAGAGAGAGAGAGAGAGAGGAATTATATCATTGAAAATCCTGTTTGTTGTTGTTGTTTGGTATGGTATGGTATGGTGAGTGAGGTTGGGTAGAAATTTAATGTGAAATTGGGTTGGTTTAAGTTCTCACTTTTTTTTCACTCTCAGTGTGTGTGTGTTTGTGTGTGTGAAATAAATGCGTTTGGTGGATGCGATAGTTGTTATCTTATTTTATCAATTGACAATGATGATTTTGGATAATGATTTTGGGGTTAATATTCAAATTTCGGATTGAAATCATAGTATAGAGAGACGAAGACGACGCGATGAGAAGAAAAAAATCATTTGATAAAATTCAATGACAAAAAAAATGGTTTGTGTGATTAAAAGTTTGAGTTAGTTAGTGAGTGAGTGAATGAGAGAAATTCATCAAACAGGAAGTACATGGGATATGATTTTGAATAGCAAAGAAGAAGAAGAAAAACAAAACAAACCAGAAAAAGAAGAAAAAACAAAACACACATAGTGAGAATGAATGGGAGAGGGGAGAAAAAACAAATGTAAAATTGATAAATTGTGAAAATAAACACACACAGAAATACAGAAATACAAACAAAAGATACATTCGAAATGAAAGTGTTACAATATTGAAAAAAAGTCATTTTGTTGTTGTTGTTTCGTTTTGTTTGAAATATAAAACACACTTGAAGATAAGTGAATGAAATGTGTAGGATGTGTGTGTGTGTGTGTTGATAAGAATTTCCAAATTGCACAGAATTTGAAGGAGGGAAAAAAACATTAAAGAATTGATGAAGAATTGAAACTTTTCTTCTTCTTCTTCAACGTTTAAATTTACAAAGGCGCGTTCAACAGGGAAAGAAAATTAATCAATCAATCAATCAATTTTTTTGTTTGAAAGTTATTAAGTTATTATTGTAATATTGGCAGGTGAAACAAAACAAAACAAAAAAAAGATTTCGATGCTATAGTTTTGATGTTTTGGATTGAAAATTACAAATTTTATTATTATTATTTTTTTTTAAATTTCATACCACGTTTTTTTTTGTTTAAAAAATAAAAGAATCATTTTTTTTGAAGATTGAAAGATTCACAAAAATGACAAACACAAACTTGCACACATAAAGAAATACAGAAAAGAAAAAGAAAAAAAACAATAAGAATTATCAATTCAGTGAAAATGGAATTTCATTCGGGGGTTTTGCTTTTTTTTTGCCCAAAAAAACAAAGTAAATGCAATTTATCATCATCATCATCATTATCAGGATAATTAATTAAATAATTTAGGTGAATGAATGAATGAAGAGCAATTTCAATGATTTTAGCGATAAACATGATGAATTACACACACACACACACAAACGCAAAACATACAGAAAAACGCAAACGAAAAATTGAATGTTCATAGAATTTAATGTAGGTGTGTTTAAGTTTAAGTTTTTGTACCTTATGGCAACTGTTAAATAATTGTCAATTTTTGTCCAAATGATTGTTGAATGATTCAAAACAAGAAGAAGAAGAAAAGTGACAGACAAAAAAAATTGATAAATTCACAACAACCAAAACAAAACAAAACAAACAAACAAACAAACAAACAAACAAACAAACAAACAACAGATTTGTGCAAAATATATATTATTTATATATTTGGGTAAGTGGGTGTGTGTGTGTGGGTGGTGAATGTGTGTGTGTGTGGATTTTCCAAAAATGTAAAATCAATACATTGATTTTGTTTTTTTATTTATTTAAATTATATTTTGAAAAAAAAGTACAAAATTATTTTTGTGTGTGTATGGTGAATGTGTGTATTTATAAATTGAAAAACAAACAAAAATTTGTCACATAAAACACAGAAAGCGAGAGAAAGAGAAAGAGAAAGAGATAGAGAAAGATAGAAGATGAAACAATTGGATTATTATTATGTCGGATAATTTGTTTAAGTTAGTTAGTTAGTTAGTTTGATAACCGGGTTTCAAATGTTTTTTTTTCATCAGTTTGTTTTGCTTGCTTGTTTTGCATACATATTTCATCCGGTCAATTTTGAGTTTTTTTTTTGAATTCAGAACAACGAAAAAAAATTTTCACAAGAAAAAGAGTGGATGTGTAGGTGTGTGGAAGTGTGTGTCACGAAATTTATTAATATTATTTTCAGGGGGTGTATTTTGATTCGTTCCAGATCAAATGATTCAAATGATAATGATGATGATGATGGTGATGCAAAAACAACCAAACAAACAAAAAAAACAATCCAAATTGAAAGAAAGAAAGAATGTAATGTTTGTAATCAGATCTGAATAAAGAAGAAGAAGAAGAAGAAGCAATAACAGAATAGATCAAATTGAATTTTGTTTTGTTTCGTTTCGTTTTTCACACGTCGTTTATTTTGAATTTGAAATGATGATGCGGATGCAGATGATGATGAATGCGGATGATGCAAATGCGGATAAAAACAAAACAAAACAAAAGGACATCCACTTTTACAATGAAAGATTTGTTTTTTTCTTCTTCGTTTTGTTTTGTTTTTGTTTTTGTTTTTTTGTTTAATGAATTAAGAAATTACACAGAATTATATTTAAAAACAAAAGAAAAATCAAAAATCAAAAACAGAAATTAATAATAATAATAATATTTATAATAATAATAATAATAATAATTTGGGAGAGATTCAATTGTGATCGTCATCATTTAATTTATCATTCGTAGCATCATTTTTCATTTTTCATTTTCATTATTTTTTCTCAATTTCCATCTTTACTTGATGATGGTGCAGGTGGTGGTGCTTCTTTTCTTGGTGGCATACGTTCATTCATTTTATCTAAACCTTTGGCTTCTTCAAAACTGGCTATCTTATGATTGGGTGAAAAACCAGCCAATGCTAAATTGAAAAGAGAATAAAAATTTTTTTTTAGTGAAAATTATTATTGATAAAAGTTAGTTGTACGTTTTACTAACCATTACGTAATGTATTTTTACCACCAGATAATGCACCTAATGGTAATGTACCTGTTGGCGTTAATCCTTTTAATTGTAAAACACTTTCAGATTCTTCACGTAATACGGAAAATACACGTGCCATTTTACCAATAGCACGTATTTTATTACGTATAACTTCTTTACGTGCCGCTGCTACAGCAGTATTTGATTTTTGTTGTTTTATTTGTATACGTGTTTTGCCAATTATATAAAAACCGATTGATAGATTGATTGATTGATAGCAAATCAAACAAAAAAGTTTTTGCAAAAATGGATGGAAATAAAATAAAATTTAAAAAAAAAATATCGAGGTAAGTGCATAGTTTGTTTGATAGATGGCATTATTTAAATCGAAATGGATGTTGTTGTTTGGACACGATCATGATACAAAGAAGCCAATGGAAGATTTTTGTTTGTTTTGTTTGGACATTTTTGGAAACACATACACACACACAAGAATAATAATCGTCAAAGCGAAGTGAATGAACGAATAATTTGATTCGGATAGAATATAAATCGATATAACAAGCGTAGGCGTTTGTAATTTGATTCGTTTTGTTTGTTGTTGTTGTAAGTGGATATCGAATATTTGGATATTTCCCGATAAATGATGGAAGAAAAGGAGATAAAAGGAAAAGACAAAAAAAAGAAAATATGTTGTATTAGCAAAATTATCAACGTTAAAAGGTATTTTTTTATGAAAATTTTTATAACAAAGCAATTAATGTATTTTTTTTGGGAGGGGGGATGATTTGTTTTTTATCAAGGAAAGGGTTAAATATTCGTATAATAAAATATAATCAATCAATATACCTTCTTCAATACTTTGATCTTCTTCACCTTCATTAATAATTAATTCATCATCAGAACAAATATTAAGAACATTGACCAACATTTCAGTTACTTTTTCACCAACAAATGGTAATGACCATGTAAAAACATCCATAAAATTAGGCAACCAATATGGATGTGGTGAACAATTAAATTGGCGTATGTTCATCACGTTATTTTCATATTTGAGTATGGCCGCTTTATTATTATAAACATCCAGATAATTTGGTGCCGAAAATATTGTTATCAATGATGGAAAACCGGTTACCAATGATTTTCGATACATTCGATAACTTTAAAAGAAAAAAAGTGAAATTAATGTAGAAATAAATAAAACAACAGAAACACATACCCAGCATCCTGTGCTTCATGAGCTCGTATAATTGACAATAAATTATTTTGCTGTAAAAATTCACAACATGCTCCATATGAATAAAAATATGAACATCCACGTACAGAATTATGTGTAAAATGTTCTTCATTTGGTTTTTCATTACCAAATTCTTCTAATGGATCTGACCAAAGTAGATCACACATTGGTCCAAATGCAGGTGGTTCTTTAAAACGATCCAATTTTTTTATATCTTCTAATGTATGTATCTCTGGTGATAGACCTGGACAAAGTAAAAAAAAACAAGAAAAAAACAATATTTTATTATCACGTTGAAATTCAAAAATCTTTCAAAACATACCACCATGTACACATAAAAATTGACCATTCATTAATGCAGCTAATGGTAGACAATCGAATGCTTCCATACATGCATCATATACACGTTCCGAATATTTAATTTTACCTTAGTTTTGGCAAATGAAAAAAAAAACAAAAACAAAAATGATTAGATAATGTATTTTCGGTTATGTTTGAATAATCAACACTACATATATATATATAGAGAGAGTAATTAGGATAAAATTTTCACCACACATGGTTTGTTTGTTTTGTTTATTTGTCGTTTTTTGTTTGTTTGTTTGTCTAAATATTTCTCTTCAAACAACACAATATCAGTTGGATTCCATCAGTTTGAATATTCAAACCAAAACAAAACAAAACAAAAAAAAACAAGATATGAATCTATACGCCCAAGAAATGTATTACTTTTAATGATGATGAAAACATTGGAATTTCATCAGAAATTTTCATATTATCACACTGTGTTTGTTGACTATATTGGCTAAATTCTTCTTAGTTTGATATTCAAAAAAAAAAACAAATCTACAGGAATGGCCCGCCTAGATTAATTATGTGGAAACCAGAAAAAAAACAACAACAACAACAATGTCCAGATAATTAATTATTTCAAACACGCTACAGTTTAATTTCATTACTTTATTCTGGGTTTTTTACCCCCTTCATATAATTATGATTTTGTTAGTTTGTTTTTTTCGTAATCTTCCAATATTACTATATTTCAATTTAAAATTTTCAATTTTACTTTGCTAATTCCGGTATACTAAAATAATCAAATCAAGAAACCGAAAACATTAGAAAAAAACGATGTGATGAAAATGAAATTTTCAAAGCTCCAGCATAAAAATACGTTTTGCCTTTCAGAAGAATTTTTTTTTTTTTTTGAAGAAAATTTAATAAAAATTCGGTTCATTTCAAACTAGAAACAAGAAACACACCAAGTCTAATGATGGCAATTGATGGACAATGGTGATGATGATTCCGAAAAAAATACACTGGCCATATCTGATGAAGAGCGAAAAAAAAGTATTCAGTATTTCAGATCACATATCCAACTATGGATGTTATGTGACCGGGAACAACAAGAAAAAATAAAATGAAAAGAAATATGATTCGCTTTCGACTGTTTTGAACATATTTTGAAAAGTTAACAGTGTTTTTTCTTCTCTCCATTGATTGCCGTTATTTTTTTGTTTTGTTTTGTTTTGTTTTGTTTGTTTTCAAATATATAAGGGAGAAAATTAAAATAAAAAATTGTGAAGAAAAAAAAAGAAATCGAAAACAAAACAACCGCTATAATTTTTTTGTTTCTTGATATAAACAAAAACTGAATAAGAAAATCAAATGGATTTTCTTTAAATGAATTTTTTCGTTTTTTTTGAAACGTGATTGATTTTTTTAAAAAGAAAGAATCAACAACAGCAATGAAAAACTAAAGAATTTGAATTCCATGTATGTGGGTGTTTGGTGTGTGTATGTGTCAAGAATTTTTCATTTGTTTTCATCAAGAATTCTTATTCACAGCCAAGTTTTTGGGCACCATCATTTACTACATATTATTATCACATCGGATAGGGTCATTTTTAATTAAATTAGTTTTTTTATTGTTCACTAAGTGTTAATAATACTTACATTCAGTTTTGAATGTAAAATATTCGGTTAAATGGCGACATTCATGATTGCCACGCAATAGGAAGAGCGTTGTTGGATAGGTTATCTTTAATGACCATAAATAAAGAACACACTGTATTTATGAGGGAAGTAAATGGAGTGAAAAAGAAAAAAAAATTATTAAAATTTATAATGTTTTTTAAATGAAAATTAAAAAAAGGATTAAAATTGGAGCAAAACAAAAAAAAAACAAACCTCGATACTAAAATAACCTCGATCAACATAATCTCCCAGGAAAAGATATTTAGTTGATGATGGATTACCACCAACTTCAAATAATTTCATTAGATCATAAAATTGACCATGTATATCACCACAAACTAATTTAATTAAAGAAAAAAGATTAATTAATTAGAATGAAATTCAATGGAAATTCAAATTCAATTTTTTTCCAAAAAAAAAATCATAATCCTAATTACCGGTTACGGGAGCTTCAATATCGATCATTGTTTTTTCAGCTCTCAATAAGGCAGCACCCTCATTTATAATACGTAGGGCAACATTTTCCTCTAAACGTCCTTCATGTACAAAATGATATTTCAATACATCGATACGTGGCTTGTTCGTTTTTGTATCAAATGCTTCGGCCATCGTTATCTTATGCGATGGTGGAAATGGTACACCTAGAAAAAAAATTGATTTAAAAATAAAGATTTTTAGAAAAATTTGTAAAGAATTTTTCATTTGCAAAGATTTTGTTTGATTCAGAAAAAAAGGCAAAAACTGAACTGATTCACTGATTCCAAATGTTAAGAACATAAAGAGAAAATTCATCAGAAGAAAAAAAAACTATTCATTCTTACGAAAGTGGCTAGTTATTATCTTGAATGATAAGAACAAAGTAACAAAAAAAAAGAAGTTAATCTCATTAACAAACTCTAGATGAATATATAATTGTAATAAGTCATTCTAGAGAATGAAAAAACAAAAAAAAACAAACAAGCAAGAATGTTATACTATGGAAACAGAACAAAAAAAAAGTATCCAAAAACCCACACAGACACAGATAGTCTTATCATGTGCATACAATGCAGAAAAAAAAACACCCAATGAATTCCTATGGGCATTATATATTTTACAATCACGAATGAATGACTAATATATAAAAAAAATGCATTCACATTTTGGATCATACATAAAATTTAATGGAAAATATATTTTATCAACCTTTTTCTATAGTATAGTGATGATGATTCAAGCAAAGAATATAATTCCGGTAAGTTTCATTCATTCATTCATTCATTCATTCATTCATATAAGTTTTGTTTCATTGTTTCTTTCCGAAAAACTTTCTTCCTACTTATTTCTTTTTGTTGTTGTTGTTGTTGTTGTTGTTGTTGTTGCATACTTTTAATTTATAAGTCATCATTTGAAATGAAAATTTTCAAGTTTTTTTTTTGTTTGGTTTACTTTTATTTTTAGTAATACATTATTCTTACAATGAAAAAAAAAGATGCTTTTACTTTTGCATTGAACAATCTCTCAATCTTTTTGGACTCAGAATACTGAGAATACATATATGAAAGCAAAAACAAAGCAGAAACAAAACGAAAAAACAACATTAATTCCATAAGATAAAATGATTTGAATAATTTATTTTTGTTCATTCATTCATTCATTTGTTTGAAAGGAAAGAAAAAATCATTGGGGAAAACAAAATTTGATACAATTTTTTGATTCAAAAAACGTTAATTTGACAATTGGAATTTTTATTACTTCGATTGACCAATGTATGATTGGATTGATTAATGATTATTCGATTGATTTTCCATTGATTTTTTTATCATTGTTTTCAGGAATCAATTTTTTCGAAATCAATGATGATGATGATGATGATGAAATATTATCATAATTTTGTTCATTATGATTTTGATGATTCGAATCTTTTGAAATAATTGTTTCAATTTTTTCTTTTACAGGTAATATTTCTTGATAAATTTTACGATATGGTTGTATTATTTCATGTACTTTTTGTATGATTGGTTTTTGTATATTTTGTATTAGTATATCTGGTTCGGCCATAAATTTTGAATGTTGTATTTTCGATTGAATACCATGATGTTTTTGTATTGTATTTATTGATGAACTAATTGTATTAAAACGTATTGTAATTAAATTATTATTTGATTTTATATCAATTATTGGATTCGTTTGTATCGTATGTAAATTTTGTATTGGTAAAATATGTAAATTTTGTTTGGAAATTATTGTTGCATCAATATTATCACCATATCTATTAAAACCATATAATGATGATGATGATGGATGTATGGCCATCATATGTGGATTAATCAATGATAAAATTGATAAAATGAACGGCAATTTTGTTGATTTCATTGTGTTTTTTCATAAGCAAACATTGAATGAATGAATGAAAACTGAAAAATCCTTTTACTGTGTAAAACAAAAAAATGTCAAGACTTTTTTTTTGTTTTTTCTCTATATATACTCTGAAAATAACCGAAAAATCTTTCAATTTAACAACAGGAAAAAAATAACCAGGAAAAAGAGAGAGAGATAGCTGTCCAACAACAACAAAAAACCTGAATAATAAAACAAAACAAAAAAGCTTTATGTATCTCACACTACTATATATAATTATGGAGAAAATCGATTTGAAAAATGGTAAACAACAACAACAACAACAACAACAAAAGAAAGAAAAACTTTTCAACTTATTAACACCATATTATCATCATAATTATTACGATCATTGGATATGGTTGATTGAACAAAAAAATGATGAAAAATAATGTTGTTTGTTTGTTTGTTTGACATAAGTATATGTGTGTGTTCTATAAATATCATCATCATCATCATTGTCATGACAATTCAAATAAACATCTTTTTTTTCATTATGAAATGATAAATGAGAGAAAACTAACCGATTTCAATTTCAATAATCCTATCAAAAAACCTTTTCTTTCGTTACAAAATAATTGAAGAATTTTATTTGAAATTGGATTTTTTTCTTTCACCTCGGTTTTTGGTTTGAAACAAAACCAAAAAAAAACCAATTTCATACAAATAAAGTGAACAAAAAAATTTGAATGTTAAAAGTCAATAACATTTAATCCGTGCTGACGACAAATTTACTATTCACTAACAACAACAACAACAACAGAATCTAATTCTTGGGCAATTCATATATGTGTTTGGAAAGTGTTGAAAATTAAAATTAACACAAAGAATAAAAATAATAAAAATAATAACTTTAATAATAATAATAAACTTGGTTAAGATTTATCAAGAAAGTAGTTCTTGATTTATATAAAACAAGAATGATTGTTAAAATAATCAATTAATTGGATTAATCCTAATCCAATTCATAACATTTTCCCCACGAGAGGGACAGTGGACATGCAAATGANGCGTCTTATGAATAGCTACAAGTTGGTCACTAGAAGCATCAGTAGAATCATCATAACTTTGAATACATTCTTTTGATTGACCATCAGGTTCACTAACGGTTATTTGAACATCATCATTTACTAGACTGTTATCATTAACTAGACTGTCATCAGGTTCTGAGACTTCTGAATACGAAATGATCACTGGATCTTTTTCAACAACTTGGACCTTAGAACTTTCTGCTTTTGTTTGAATTAGAACCGGAAAAGTCTTTGTTTCACTTGTAACAGGATCGAACTGTTTAGTCGATAGAACTTCGCTTGAAATCATTGTTGTAATGTTCGACTGTTGACAATTAGAAACCACAGAATGTTCGTTTGTAAACTCGTTAGAAACAGTTCCAGAAAATAGTTTAGCATTAGCGAATTTTCTGCACCAAGAAACATACTTCTCAGTCACTTCTTTAATCTTTTCTTGATTAGTAACATTATCTGGTAATCCATCTAACAAAATACGATCATTAAATCTACTAAAAAGATTAAACCATTCGTTTAATTCTTCTTCCTTCCCCGCGACGAGTTGAGAACCAAAAAACTGTTTCCCAATAACGACGTCTTGACCAAACAGCGAAACATAAAGGGAAAACTTAGACTCCAAAATGCGTATACAGTTGTTTCTTCTATCTAAAACTTCACGAGGTTTTAATACAGAAAAGTCCATATCGGCTGGCTCGCCAAAA